GGAGACTTTAACCTGCGCACGTAAGAACCGTCTTTTTTGGATGTGCACAAATATTTTTCCTTTTCTGTTTGTTACTTTTATTTATATATAAAATAAAAGATACTATATTTAACGTTCATTGTCGTTAAAAGAATGTTTATGTAGTGTCAAAAACATATTCTTGCAACCTTTGTCATAATGTTGATAGCATTAAAAAAATGTTTCGTACCATTCAAAAAATGCATTGCATTTAAAAATATACTCATGAGTTTCAAAAATATATTCGTGGCATTTAAAAAAAGCATGTTTATACATTTTTGAAAAAATTATTCACACAATTAAGAATGTTTTTATATCATTCAACAATGTGTATTTAAAATTGTTTAACACATATTCAAGAAAATAATCTTCAAAAAACAAGCATATAAAAAACGTTAATCATGTACTTTAGAAGTGTTATTAAACATGTATAATAAAAAGTTGTAGATATATACCAAAAATATACAATGCATATGAAAAAAATAGGTATCAATACATATGTATTTAAAAAAGTGTTAAACATCTATATCTATATCTATACCAATATAAAAAGACCCAAAGGAGCAGATCCAACACATCTCAGCCATCCATTCGCGTTAATCCAACAGTCTTTATTGTCCTAATAATGGTGAGCAACTAAACACGTTTAGCTCTAAACACTATCCATTCCCTTCCCTGATCCCGTTCCTATGGCACAAAAGGAAACATCCAGCCTCAAAGTATGTTTTCCAGTTACTAATAACTTTCCTCGCTCCGCCTCAATGGCATCGAGCCGCCGCCCCCATCGAATCAAGCTGTGGCACCAAGCCGCCATGCCCCCATCGCCTCGATCTGCCATCCCTCACATCTCCGTACGGCCCCCACCCATCGCCTCGCCTGGCCTCGGCCGTCGGACAGGAGCCGCCTCCTACTCCTAAACCGCCTTGCGTGCCGTCGGGGATGCCGCCTCCTACAACCCCTGGTCCGTTGTCCGTCAGGGACACCGCCTGGTCCGCTATCCGTCGGGGACGCCGCCTGGCCGGCCGTCGGGGACGCAGCTGCCTAAACCGCCTTGCGTGCCGTCGGGGATG